TGCTCGAGTGCTTCAGTCAAGCTACATTCAGCTATCAGGAACTGCAGCATAAAGATTTAGGGTACTTAAACATGCAATTGAGTTGAGACCTGCTCCAGTGTAATCCATTCAGAAATGTTAGCCTATGTCTTAAAAAAAAAAAAAAACACCACACACCACCACTTAAGAACTTATTTAGGACAAAATATCACACATGTTTTTAGATTCTGTTGTTATTTCACCTTGAATTCTGGAAACAAAGACATGAAACCCATTGAGGCTCATTGAATTATTTATAGAATGGCTCTACTGTTTGGGGAAAATAGCCTAAATTTTCAATTCAAATAAGGTGCATACAATTTACAGGAAAATCTATAACTGAGTATTTCTGAGCTTGGTTCATTCTAAAAAGCAGCCCAAGACTGTAGAAGCATACATTTTCAAACAGCTCTAAAAAATTCATAATAAGTTGCTCTGTCCCAACTCATCTATAAGCAATCACACTCCTTAAAAAAACAAAACAACAACAAAAAAAAAAACACTCAAACCAAACAGCTTTTAGGAAGTTACAACATTAAAGCCTGACCCAACTCCAACTGAAATCAGTAACAGAATTCCCCTTCTTGCTTCAGTAGAACTGCATCAAGCCTCCTGAACACAAAAAGAAAGCGTAAGATATATCTAGACTGTATGAAGGGAATAACTGCAATGGTTATCCACAAAATCCCAATAGCCTGAACTCCACAGCACTATGAGCAGGCTTCACACTACTATAAGATACTTAAAACAAAAAAGCACACACACACACACAGACAGCAAAAACAGAATTAAACACTAGAAGTAGAGATCAAGCTGGGAGAGGGGGTTGATTGCTGTATAGTTTAGTGTTATCAATATTTATATGGAAAACATTAAAACACCTAACCAAGCAGCACTGTCGACATCACTAAGGGCAAAGGCAACACAAGAGAGTTAAGAGATAAGCAGCCAACCATACAACATTTGAAGGGGAAAATAATCTCTCTTGAGAAAAAGCTATTTAATAAAACGGAGGGAACTAATAAGTCAAAAATAAGCAACATCAGGAAAGCAGTAATAAATTAAGGCAGAGGGTGGTTTGATACAATATGATAACACAAGGCATCAGCGTTGCTTTGCACTGTACAAAGATAGCTTGGAGAAAAAAAAATGGTCAAGTATGCAAAATATGCCTTAAAACAAGAGCTTAAATGCAGTTTGAGGGGGCAGTGACTGTTCCATGTCCAGGTGCATTTAAAGAACAGGAAGCGTACTGTGAGTGTAACAGAGGTGGGGAGCAGGAGAGGACAGTGACAGAAGAGACCTACACTTTGAAAGGATCCTATAACTCACCAGGCTGAACACAGCACTACTTCTCTTGTTTCCTGCACCTACAGCCAACAACAGAATTTAGTAAGACTAGGAAAACACTTCCGACGAAGCTCCCATTCCTGCACAATGGTACATATACACCAACCCGCACAATTCCTGAACTGGCTTAAAAGGATGCACTGAGCTTTCAACCATTACAAATATTAGCCTCTAACACTTAACAAATAGAAAATGTTTTCTTAAGGACAGAATTAACGAAGCATTGGAAGAAGAGTTAGCACATCTACATAGCTGATGAGCATGATAGACGAGATTTTTTATTTCAGATTTCTGTTTTCATCCTTCCATCACCTCTGACCTATATACGCTACACCTTTGTATTTCTTAGCTGCTTCTAGATTCTTGTTTTTATCTTTAAGCAATCTGGTTATTTTATTTCCTTGCAGAGTTAAAATTAAAAAAAAAAAACAACACCTGCTTGCTACTACCTTGCGACAAAAACACACGTCTTGCTTTGTCTTGGTATATAGCCTAATGAAAAATGATACACCACATTTTTTCCATTCATTAATACAACTTTGCAGCAGGTAACTTTGGCCATGTCCTAGAAGTTCTTATCTTGTATTTTACCTACAGCATCTCTTCCAAACATCAGAGGCTAACCTTACTACTAGTAGCAATATTAGCAGAGATTTGCTTGCACTCACCTTTTTTTGAGTAACGCCCTCATCATATATTCACTTACTGACTCCAAAGCTCTCATCAAATAAAGAAACACTACTACCACAATAGACCAGATTGTTTTCCTCAGAAAACACCTGAGTATCATCTAGAACAAATTAATATCACTTTCAGTCAGAAGAGTTTGCCCTTTTGGTAAACCAAAAAATCAAACAGCCTGTCTCTGAAACAGTCTCAAGTTATACACATTGCCAACTCAAAAATAAAAATATTAATGCAAAAGAGGAATATGAGCAACTTCAGAAGCAATTAAAATTTTTATTAGCCCTTATATTTTGAAAGGCAACTTTCCAAATCCGAACTGCATTAATTAGTGCACAGTCTGTCTGCATGCCTGAGAACAGACATCTTCAGTTCCTCTGCTGCTGTTGACAACTGTTTTATTCCACAAATAAACTTACTGATCTCATTAGCTTACAACGATGAGAATTCAGAAGTCTGTATGCAAAGAAGCTATCAAGAATCGGAACATTAACCTCCTTGACTCGTTGGCCAGGACACTGCAAACAAGCATACTGAACGACCTCTCTACTCTTATCACAGCGCCATTAGAAAAGAAGGTCAGATTTGCAGTCACGGGAACAAAGGAAGAGACTGCTCCTCTATCAAAAAAGGAGGGAACCTGAAAGCTGACTCCCTCACAACGCAGACTTTCTTTCCCCTTCTCAACTCACGGGAATTTAAATACCTTCCCCTCCTTCTCTCATCATGGAAGAAATGAGGGGATCACACTGCAATCTGTCTCAGAAAAAAAGTCTCTTGCCTTTATTCAGCTCTCACATATCCAATAAAGTTTTCAAATCACGTGCCAAAAAACAAAGTAGGCAAAAGGAAAAAAAAAATGGCAGTAAAACGGCGCATGCAGATAAACAAAGGAAAAAACAACGAGTATAGTTTAGAAAAAGGGGGGAAAAAAAGTAAAAGGGCATAAAAAAAAACAAGTATACACTGTTAAGTAGAATAAGAACCTGAAAAAAAAAAAAAAAAGGAAAAGAAACTAAACAACTCAATGTGTAATTTTAAATGCAAGATGCAAGGGGTTCTATGCAGCAAAAAATGTGTATATTTTACTTTGTTTAAGCTATTATGTGTCAAATGCACTTTCAGGTATTGCACCAGAAATGCCACCCCTCCAAAGGGGTTCCCCTGGAACCCCATGCCTTTCCATTCAGGCTTCAAGCATCGGAAACTAAAGTAGATCACTAGGCATTTAAAAGCATCGCTTACCATGTAACGAAACACACAAACGTTTCATTCACAAACTTTCAAAACAATGCCTACCATTAGAAAAAGTCGTAGTTTGTCTCACAGTTTGTGAGACGAGAAAAAGAGAGAACTCCAGCCTCGAGAATGGGACTTGAAACTGTCCTCGGGCTGATTTCTGAGTAACGGTAGACAACTCTAGCGCAGACCCAAAGCTGAAATTTACCGAAAACGCTTTTGGCCAGAAACCAAAGACTTCTGCCTCCAGGAAAATCCACGCATCCGCGCCACAGCGCGCAGACCCCGTAAGAATCACGGCCTCACCGTAACGCTGCGGGCAGCTGCGCAGCACAGGCAATACAACGCCAAGGCAAGGCGGATGCAAACGCGCAAACCACTTGTCGGACGCTGAGGCCCCCCGGCGCCAACGAGGCGAGGCAACGCTTCCTCCTGCCACAACTCCGGCGGCGGGCCCTGCGCTCCCCGCGGGTCGCCGGGCCCCCGGAGCAGGGCCGGGGCGGCGGGCAGAGCCCTGCCGGCCTCGTCTCGCCAGCGGCCAAAGGCCCGGGCCCGCCGCAGGCGCGCCCCTCGGCCGAGGAAGCCGGCCCCGAGGGCCCGGGGCCGGAGCGGAGCGGGGCCGGCAGCGCCGGGCAGGGCCAGGGGCCGCGGGCGGGCGGGCGGCCGGGCCCCGCGCCGGCGGAGGCGGCGGGAGGGCAGCGGGAGGCCTCCTCCCGCGGGCGGCCCCGGGAGGCCGCGGAGCGACCCGGGGGCAGCGCCGCGAGGCCCGGCGGCGGCACGCGCGGTGCCCGGGCTGCCGCGGGGCGCGGCGAGGAGAGGCGCGGGGCGGGCGGGCGGGCGGCGCGGCCCCACTCACCGGGCCGGTGCCTGCAGCGGAGGAAGCGGCAGCGGCAGGAGCCGGGCATTCAAAATGGCGGCGGCGCGGCCTCAGCACCGATACGGCAGGCGGAGGGATCCGCGCGCCGGCACGCTCCCCTCGGCCTCCCGGCCGCGACCGGCGCCAGGCTGGGGGCGCGGCCGCGGCCTCCGCGGCGGGAAAGGCGCCGGGGCGGCACGGGACGGGCGGCGGCGGGGCGGGGGGGAGGCGTCCCGCACTACTTTCCTCGGCGGAAGCGCACGCGTGCCGGACCCGCGAGCGGCGCTGCGTTGCGCCGTGGCAGTCGCTGATGACGTCACGCGGGGGGCGGGCCCCGCGCCGAGCGCTGCCCCGAGGTGCGGCCGGGCGGGTCGCGCCGCCCGCAGACTGGGTTCCGCGGCGCCTCGCCGCACGGGGGGGGGCGGCGGGAGCGGGAGGGGCCGGGGCCCGGGCAGCCGCCGGCGGCTCGCCCCCCGCGGGCCCGAGTTACCGAAGCCGCGCGCGGCGGCCGGAGGGGCGGGGAGGAGCGGGGACGAGCGGGGACGAGCGCTCCGATCGGCCGGGGCACGGCCGCTGGAGCCGGCCCGGGGTGGCGGCGGGGCCCGGGAGCGGCTCGGGCCCGGCTCCCGCCCGCTGTGTGTCCGGCGGGGATCGGCCGCAGCGCGCCCGGGGAGGAGCCGCCGGCTCCCCGCAGACGAGGCCGGGCAGGGGGCGCCTCGGCAGCGCCCGCTCCGCTCCGGGGCCGCCCGCAGCTCCCGGCCCCGCGCCGGGCTCCCCGCCCCGCCTCGCCTCCAGCCGTCGCCGCGGCAACGGGCGCTGCGGGCGGCCCCGGCGCTGAGGCGCTTCCGGCGCGCGGCCTCCGCCCGTCATCGCTGCGCGCCGCGGCGCGGGGCGGGGCCGGGCCGGGCCGGGCCGGAGGCGGCCGCGGGGCCGATGGGGGTCGCGGAGCAGGAGCCGGGCGATGGCGGCGGGTGAGGCGCGGCGGGCGCCGGGCGGGCCGGCGGAGGCGGGGCGCGGCCGCGGCGCCTCGGGCCCGGCGGGGCGGAGCGGGGCAGGGCGCGGGGCGGCCGGGGCCGGGGCCGCCGAGCGGGGCGGGGGCTCGGGGCTCCGGCGGCCCGGGTCTGGCCCCGGCCCCGCGGCTCGGGGCTCCCCCCGCGCGGCCCCGGCCCCGGGGCTCACGGCTCCCTCTGTTCCCGGTGCAGGTGAGGCGGCGGCGGCCGGCGGCGGGGATCCGGGAGCCGGCGTGCGGCAGCCCCTGCGGGCGCCCCCATGAACGAGCGTCGCGGCCGCGGCTGCCGGGACTCCGCGGGGCGCCATGAGAGCGGGCCACGAGCGCAGCCAGGAGCGCCTCCCGCCCAAGAAGCGGGAGCTGCCGGCCGCCAGCAGCGGCGCGGAGGCGGCGCGGGCGGGGGGCGCCCAGGCCTCGGGCGAGGGCCCCGAGTGGGCCCGGACGGCGGGGCCGGGCCCCGCGGCCCTGCGCTACGGCCCCGGGGAGGCCGCGGAGGCGGTGGCGGGGCTGACGGTGGACCAGTACGGGATGCTCTACAAGGTGGCGGTGCCGCCCGCCACCTTCTCCCCCACGGCCCTGCACCCCGTGGTGAACGTGAGCCCCCTGACCCCGGCCTTCAACGTGACCTCGCCGATAATCCAGCACCCGGGGGTGCCCTACCCGCCCATCCACTACGCGCAGATCCCGCCGACGTCCCTGCAGCTCATCGGCTCGCATTACACGGTGCCCTACGCTGTCCCTCCCGGCTTCCTGCCTAGTCCTCTCCTGTCTCCTTCCACCAACCTCGCCGCCTCTCACGTCCCCCACTTTGTGCCATATGCCTCTCTCTTCACGGAAGAAGCCGCTCCTTCCCCCCCGACTACCTCTCCTACCCACACCTTCAACAAATCTGCTTCTGCGGTCTCTCCCTCGGGCCAGATGCAGCACCATGCTGGGACCCAGCCACTAGATACTACGCTAGGTAGAATTCCTGTTTATTATCAGATGTCCCGCCTCCCACCAGGGTACTCGGCATATGAGACGCCCACAGCAGGTGGAAGCCCAGATTCTTCTCAGCAAGACAGTCAGCTGAGTTCAGAGGTAGCTGCTGCCAACGGTGGACAGAGACATCTGGAGCACAACGTGGTGAGGAGGACCAGTGAGGCTGTGGACTCTGGCAGCAGTAAAGCCGAAGACTGTCTGCCAGGGGCTGCAGTGGGATGTGTGGTTGATGGACAGTTTCTTTCAGGTTACCAGACGTTGAGAACAGAGGTCTCTGTGCCAGCTCACAGAAACACCCCAGACACTGACCTGGAGGTCCAGAGGGTGGTAGGGGTGTTGGCATCTCAGGATTATCATGTTCTGGCAGCCCAGAGGAAAGATGACCCAAGCCCTTTAAACCTTTGCCATAGTATCTCTGATCAGCAGGGGGAGTCAAAGGACATTTTGAGGAACACAGTGGAAAGGGCCGCTGCTGGGAAGAGCCAGTCCAGGAGTCCGTATGTTGTATCCCCTGAAGAGATGGTTAGACAAAGACAATTAACCAAAGGAATGGTGATAGCCAACGGCAAGCCAGTACTGGTTCCCGTTGGATCTGAGCCCATCAGGTCTTCTGCTTCAGAAACCCTGGTAAGGCAGAGTCCAGACGTGCAGGCTCGAGGGAGCGTGCTCGAAAAGGACCTGGCACAGCTGCAGCCACCCAGCTCCTCACACTTGCCCTCCCACTTCATGAAAGGAGCCATCATCCAGCTGGCTACAGGAGAGCTGAAGCGGGTAGAGGACCTGCAGACTCAAGACTTTGTTCGCAGTGCAGAGGTGAGCGGGGGCCTGAAGATCGATTCCAGCACCGTGGTGGATATTCAGGAAAGCCAGTGGCCTGGGCTTGTCATGTTGCATTTTGTGGTTGGGGAGCAACAAAGTAAAGTGAGCATCGATGTGCCCCCAGAGCATCCCTTCTTTGTCTATGGCCAGGGCTGGTCCTCCTGTAGCCCGGGGCGGACTGCTCAGCTCTTTGCTTTGCCCTGTCACAGGCTGCAAGTGGGCGATGTCTGCATATCAATCAGTTTACAGAGCATGAATGGCAACTCTGCTTCTCAGGCTAACTACCCTCTCACAGATCAGTTGATATCTACTAGGGAGAGATCTGAAAGAACTGCTCAGGGGTCCAGAGAACCGTCTGACAGAGCTGCTGAAAGGAAGAGCCAGCCAGAAAGGGAAAGTGCAGCTCAGAGCTCTCACGCAGAACCCTCTCAGCCTGAGACTGTCACTCAGCACAGCTGGGCAGCCCCAGGCTTCCAAAGATACAGCACGCAGGCAGAGGAGCCTCGGCCCTCTCTGCTCCGTCCCTCTTTCATTCCCCAGGAGGTCAAGCTGTCTATCGAAGGGCGTTCTAATGCAGGGAAGTGATCCCTTTGAGGCTGTGAGCTAGGGCATGCCCTCCGGGTGAGCCTCACCTTCACTGGGTGGAGAAATTGCACACGCTTTGTGGCAGGTTCACCAGCAAGGCTGCCCTGCAGAACTGGATTAATTCCAGTTCAGTGGCTGACCAGTTCCTCTTGGGGAATCGAGAGGACTCCAGTGCCTCAGGGAGCAGCAACAGGCTAGCCGGGGTAGAGAAAAGGGACGTGCTCACGAGCTTGCGATGAGAACATCTGGAGGCTGGGGCTTTCTTGCACCTCCCTGAACAACTGACACCCTGCAGGGCAGGGTCTAAGTAAGCATTCAGGAAAGGTGGAGAGATGGGAAGGGCAGACGTGGCTTAAGGTAGAAAGTAAAATTGCTGAAGATATTATTCCTCCTTTTTCATGATGGGGAGAGAAGGGTCCCCACTGGAGTTTAGGGGGCTCTACTCCCAGTATCCCCTTTCTTCACACATGCACTTTAAAAGGACCGTTCACCGATGGAGCTCTTGAGGGCAGGACGCAGATGCTTCTCTGATGGTTCTGTTTAATGTCTCTTCCACTGAATCCAACTGCTCTTTCTTCTTGCAAAGAATGTACAGAGATTTCCATGAATCACAGAAACTCAAGAGGAAGGACCAAAAGGATGGGTTTGGGTACAGGTGAATAGGGAACTTGAGCACTTGGGATGGGGCATGGGATGGGAGATGTCAGTTTCCTGCTTTGAAACATTTCTGTTGTCACCTAATTATTGTAATATTAGTCACCAAATCAAATATTCCTTCCCATGTTAATAACCTTAAAAACAAAATCTCTTGGGCTTAAGGCTTTTAAGGCTTAGCCTGTGGGTGAATGGGGTTAGGTTTTGTTTGGTTTGGTTTTTGTTTTTTTTTGAAAGCTGGAGTCAGATATATTTAGCATTCTCTCGTGAGGGATGGAAACACATCCTTCGACTGTGAGACCGAGACTATTTTGTAATTACATCAGAAGAAAACTTTACGGATGGCTAATTATTCCCTGCAGGCAGTTTTCTGAATAAACTCTAAAGAAACAAGCGTTTGTGCATGTGCAGGCAAAGTACACAGCTTCAGCTAAGTACAGTTCCATGAGTAATGTAGGGACTCCAGGGATCGCAGCATCGTAGGGCATTTCTGGGTGTTTTTCTGTTGGTTGTTCTAATGCAGAACTTTGGAGTTCCTCTGTAGAACATCACAGTAATATCAAGAGTAGCCTTCTTCACAGTGAGATCTAACACAAATGTGTATTGATACCTCGTTATGGTAAATAACACTCCATTCAAGTGAAGGCTCCTGCAGTTACACTAATTTGCCCTCTCTGATGGTGTGTTATGACACTGGCTCTAACTGCCTAGTTAGAATAAAAATGTCACTGTTTTGTCGAGGGTAAGAGCCTTACTGACTTAACGTGGATTTGAGTATTCCCTGTATTACGGTGCCCATCGCTCTGCTAGGACCAGGCTTTTGAGGATTTCTTCTCGGCGTGCCGATCCCTGCTAGAGTCCTGATGATGCTCCTGATGTCAGTGTACCATTTTCTGTCTCCCTTGTCTCATCTTCCTGAAGTTTTCTGCCAGGCATGCTGGACTGCTAGGGCTCTGCTTCTTTCTTTCCCCAAATGGCTTGTGTGTCAGCACTTCTCGATGATGTGGCTGCCCTCCTGGTCAGCTTCTGCGGTGCTGGTGTCTCAGGGTTGGTCTGAATACTCTTCAGAAACGTGTCCTGTAACCAACTGCCTTCAGTTGGCTGCGTGGCAGGGGCTTTGTGCATACGTGTTCTGCAAGCGAGAGAGTCTCCAGAAGGGTTCTTCCATCCAGGCCATTGATTATGATTTCCTAGCAAATCGCTAGCCATTTCTGTTGCCTTTGACATGCCTGCGCCGGGAGAACAATTTATTTTCAGGCCTTAGTTAAGATACGCTTTGTTCATGCCTTCAGTGTTTGTGCCTCATGAGGGTTTCTCCAGGGTGAGGATGCTGCCCGTGTCACACGTAGCTTCCCAGGAATCACAAAATGCTTGTGGTCTCATCAACTGCATGTGGAAATGCACAAGGTCACAGTGACACTGTCGTGTGAAGATTCTGCCTCCTTCGATGCGGCAGCTGTGGGGTGCTGCCTTTTCGTGGCACCGGCACATCCTTGCCTGGGCCCAGGTGCCCGGCCTCATTCCCACGTGTGTTCCGCAGTCGCTGTTCATCGGACTCTCCTGCACAAAGGCCTTGCCTGATGCTGGTTAGTGCTTAATGCTCAGGATAGCCAGGGTCTGTGGCCAAGAGCAGAAGACAGAGGAGCCCAGCTTCTCTCGCCTGTTCTTTGTGTGGCGCATGCAGAGGGACTGAGAGCTGTGGCAGGCAGCTGAGGAAGGGATCTTGCAGAGGTTTGGCCAGTGAGTGCGGAAGGGACGTTGTGTGCTCAGAGTGTTTGTGCAGCTGGACGGTGCAGAGCCCCGGTGTGCCCATTCAGACATGGAAGTCTCTGTCTTAGAGGGTTTGGAGAGCCTGCCTCATCTCCCGTGTGTCGCTGTACTCACTGCTTCTAGGTCTTGGCTGCGTGGGGCGGTGGTCTGAAAAGGCTGGCGTATGAAGCAAGATGCCGTGGGGCTAGACCAGCTCTGCCCGGGGCAGCTGGGGGTTGGCCGGGTGCTCGTCCTGGTGTTTCCTTGGCTGCTGGCTTGGCCACGCATCTGCTGAGTGGTTCTGAGGTCCGTGGAAGAGGCCAGGGTGTGTTTGTCCTTGGGGCTTCTGTCCAGGCTCCCTGTGAGTCCTGCTGTTGAGCAGGGTTCAGCTGCCAGCTCTTCTGTTCTCTGGAAGCAACGGTTTGGGGCACATCTCATGGAGGAGGCATTGAGAGTAATTTGGGCATCTGGCCGCTTGCCCCAGGGACTGTGGGTAGGAGGGGAGTACCGGAGGCCCTCTAGCCCAGCAAACAGCACTCATAATCACTGGAATCTTTCTTTACTGGGTTGGACTGTGTTGCTCAGCTCCAGTGGTGGCTCTTGGGTTGAGTGTTCGGGCTCTCTCGAGACAGGGAGTGTGCGAGACAGGTTCTGCTGTGGGCAGGAAGGCTGTGAAAGAGCCCACAGAGGAGGCATTTATTTCTTAGGTTTACAGGGATAGGGGGAGATAAAGCCAGGAAGACGTTATGGAACGAGCTGGTTATCCAGGCCTTTCTGCTGGCAGAGATGTGACAGGCTTCTCAGAAATACACTGTTTTCCTGCTGCTATTGTGAAGGGAGGGAGAGCTGCGGTCTGTCCTACCTGAAGGAGGAGGCGTCCTGGCCTTGGTCTTACCCAGCTCGCACGGAGGCTGTGGGAAGAGTCTGTAGGATGCAATAACGGGTGTCTGTAGCCATCTGTCCCATCTCATGAAACATTCCTTGGGTCAGCTGCCCATCAGAGGCCAGGCCTGCTCCCAGGCCGTGTGTACACTGTTCCCCCAGGAACACAAGACTTGCTCCGGGTGACGAGCGCTCATCACTACCAGACTATGCAGAGGAAGCTCTGTCTGGAAAGGAGGAAAGCTGCAGGAGCGCCTCTGCCTCTCCTTTCCAGCAGGTGCGCAAGTATAATGCACTTTTCACATTAAGTGTCCCCATCCCTCCTGTCCCCACCCCACACTTGAAGTCACTTTCCCCAGTAGAGAACTAATGATCCTTGTTACTCAGAAAAATATTTTAAATGAAACTACAGCAGCTTGAGTAGCCCAAATGCTAGTTCCTGCCCACAGCAGTCCATGTGCCTTTCCCTAGCGTCACTCACAACTGCTCTTTGCCTTTCAGGCTGTCCCGGGCCTGAAACTTTACAGAAGCTGCTCAGATGGCTACGAATGCACATTCTGTACAGAGTTTGGCCCAGGGTATGTTCCGTGTAGGGCTTAAAATGCCGATGGTCAAGACTCCTCCATGGTCTTCACATCTGTCCATGGAGGACAGGACTTGTCCCGACGTCCCAGGCTGCTGCCACCCCACCCTGCAAACGCGCCGTGCACGTTCTGGTCGCTTTTCGCTTTCGTGGCACCTTAGAGCCAGGGGAGGGTCTGCGCATGCTAAGCAGAGCAAGGCATGTGGCACTGGGGGAACTGGCTGGGCTGCCCTGAGGCAAGGAGGTCTTTGTAGATAAGTGCTGATCCCTCAACTATAATCCCAGTTATGTAATGGCTGTATTAACATGTAACCGACCGCATTGTATCTAAAGCCTTAGAACTAGTCAGGTGCTCCCCTCCAACCTTGCTCCCACCCCATTCCTCCTACCTGATCTTTAACAAAGCATTAATAATTCTAAGGATAATCTCTATTTTGTTGTGCTTTTTTTGTAACTGTTTTAAATAAATCAATTTGTACTGTATATTTGTACTTTTGGTGAGATCCTTTTTCCTGTTTTACCATTTTAAGTCTGTACTTGGCTACACACAGATTGTATTTTTATTGTTAATGCTCTTATGAATATTGCATTTAACTCGTTGACTCTGTAAACACAGTATATATCTATATCTATATATATCTATATATAAACCAATAGCTTTTCCTTTGGTGTTTGAGACTTTTTGCTCGTCTGTGGCATCAGTGATCATTTGAATGGGGGTTCTCTGGTCTTACACAGTGATCTGGAACCTGACAAACACAAGGTAAAGGCAGACAGATAGCTTGTAAGCTTTAAGTCTGCATTCAAATACTTTCGCTTTTGTGTGATCTCCTTGAACCCCTTTGATACAATGGTTTTGTTAGTAAATATTGCTTGGAATAATCATAAGGTGCCAGGGAGGTTGTGGTAAAAGCAACCTCAAAAAAATGTACAGTTAGCACAGCAAAGCTATGGCTCCGCTGGCCAAGTGAAACACACAACGTAGGGTAACAGCAACTGCTGCAAAGAGCAAACTGCTGGCTTGAGTGTGAAAATGAACAGAGGTAAGAATAAAAGTGAGATCAGCTCACAGAACAAAAGAGGATATGGAGAAGGTAACATCGAACTGAATAGATCCTTGCCAGACCTGGTACCTTTTCCCAAAGAGAGCAAGGCAAGGATGGCTCCTGAAAACCCAGATGAGAAGATAAAACAACTTCTCTAAGCTGAGGAAACAAACTGTTACAGTGGCATGTTAAAGAGTGTAGGGTTCAAAAGATTAAAAGCTTTTTGTAGCGAGTGCCCACAAGACTGTCTATAAGGTTAGTTTCATGTCATGAAAAAATGCAGCATGGTGCACTTCAAAGGCAACTATTTTAAGCAGTTAAGTAGGACTTCAAAAGAGTTGCAGCAAAAGTTTTTCAAGCTAACTAGAGGGAAAAAATCAAGTTTCTAAGTCACTGAAAAATGACTGGCTCTGTCCTCTTTGCAGCTCCCTTCAGGTATTTCTAGGCATGGGCAAGATCCCCCTAACCATTCTTTTCTCCAGGCTGAGCAATCCCAGCTCTTGCAGCCTCTCCTCAGAGGAGAGATGTTGCAGTCCCTTTGGGGCCCTTTGCTAAACGCTCTACAGCATGTCTGTGTCTCTCTCACTTGCAAACCTGAAATGCTGTTTAAGTGAAAATTACCTTGTTCCTCAACTGGCAAGCTGCTCCTTGTTTGCTTACCTCGGTCAGCCTTTCATATTGTCTATATGAGGTATCTTAGAACAGGAATTACTTCCTCTTAGTTTTTCCAAGTACACTACGGCAAACAAGCACATAGAAAAGGTGTTTGAGGGCGTGCGCAGCCATTTGCAGGAAGATGGGATCCTTTTTTGCTTCAATTTTTATGGACACAAGCAGTGAGGTATGTATTCCTGGAGGAGCAGTGGACTATCAAAGTCCTCAGCTCCATTACTTACGCTGCTGTAAGTTCCTTTTTCAGTGAGGCAGGCTTTTCACCTGTAGCAAAACTGCAGCAGCCCAAACCCATCCATGCTGCAAAGGTCCAAGAACAGGACAAAGTACAAAAGGTAAAGAAGGGGACTAAATAAATGTGAAACATTAATTTATTTTCCCACTGTTCACAAGCTGTGGCTGACCCCCACAGCAGCCTGTATCCTCAGAATCTGCTTCCACCAGGGCTACTCTGGCAGACATCTCTCAGCTCTGTTCTCCTCCTGTGTTCAGGAGAAAGTCGGAACCATCTGTGGGGGAGAGCTAGCCAGGGACCCACAACAGCCTCCTGAGCGTAGAAGCCTGCTAGTTTGCCTGCGACAGACGCAGCAGTGGCGGTAGTCTTTGGCCGCAGCTCAATGCAGCGTACTGTTGCTCTGCTCCTCAAAGGTCATTTTGCCCAGCAGTTGGCTCTCCAGCTCTACGTTGCTCACTGGCAGCTGGAAGAAGTTCATTTCAGCTGCCAAAGCTGCCATGGCAGAGGGGTCCTGGCCAAACTGTGCCCGGAGCATCATGTCCATTTTCTCCAGGCGCCGCTTCAGCCTCTTGGCCTCGCGTTCCCGGATGAGCCGGGCCTGCCGTTTCTCTGGGGTCTCGTTTGCACGTTTCAATCGCATGGCTTCCCGGTCTCGCTGCAGCCGTCGCGCCCGCTGTTCATCTGTCTCTTGCATGCGCTGCAGGCGCTTAGCTTCTCGATCCCGCATCCGTCTCACTTCCCGCTCCTCGGGAGTCTCGTTGTCCCGCCGGCTCTTCTTGGCTGTGCGCTCCCGCTCCAGACGCTGCAGCCGCACTTCCAGGGGCTCGTTCTGCCGACGAAGCGCCCACTTTCGCATGCCAGGTGTCTGTGCCTCCAGCAGCTTGCGATACGCAGCGCAGTTGTTGCACACTAGGAGGATGCTCGCAGGATACACAGGGGTGTGAAAGGCAACGTCCTTCCCCTCGACACTGGAGGGGCCCTCACTCTGGGGTGCGGGCAGGCGATCTGCACTGAGCACTTCTGGCAGCTTCTCACTGGAAAGCAGAAAGTGCAGAGTGTCAGAGACTTGGTGCTGACAGGAGGGACCTCATCTCGGACTGACGGGGAGGCTGCAGTGAACGGTACCCCTAATAGTGCCCATGACAGAGGCCTGTGCTAAACCATCCCTGCCCACAAACACATCTGAATACCTAAAACCAATCAACAGCATAGACAGGGGTAGGAACAGGGTTAGCCCAGAGCAGTACCTGAGTTGGAAGAGTGCAAGGGCAGGAATTAACCAGCAAGCTGCTACTCCCCATCATCTCTAGATTTCTCCATTCCCTATTCCCCTAGTCAGTGAATAATCTTCCACCAGGCAGGACACAAATAAGGAACATTTTGGTTTCTGCCTGTAGTCTTGCTTTGGAAATGAGGAACTCATCTGGGCAGCACAGACCCTGTCTGATGGACTGATCAGCAAGGAGAGCAACGATTGTTGTGTGACAAGAGTCTCAGTGCTCTGAAGAATCCTACTTCTTCACAGAGCTAAGAAACACCCTTTTAGCAGCACAGCTCGTGGAGATTTTTGCAGGTAATGTGGAGCTGCAAGGAGGAAGGGATCCAGGAAATCTCAGTCATTGGGGGTGTTCCCAGCTGGCCTTTAGTAGGGCATAGACATGATTCCTGTGTCACTTAAGGCAACCCACCTAATCTTTTCTGTGGGTACCCTAGCCCACTCACCAGCCAGGGTGACCCTGACCTGTTGAATGTGGCGTGGCTGGTGAAACGTGCTCCACACACTGCACAGTTTGACAGCTGGTCCTCTGAGTGGATCAGGAGATGTCGCCCAAGGGATCCTGGTGAGCTGAGGGCTCTGCCACATACAGGACACATGTAGCTCTTGGCGCTCACCACAGCTGCAGTGTGCTGCAAAACAACCACTAGGTTGTTAGTTACAAATTGCCCAGCTCCCTGCCCAGTTTGAGGTGTGCTAACAAAATATGGTAAACCATTTAGTTCAGCCTCTTGGAAAAGGATCATTTAACCACTAAAACCTCTGGCTTACAGCTCCTAGACTAAGTGCAAGACATTTGGGATGTTACAGATCAAATACCTTCCTGCAGTTCAACAGCAGTGCAAGAGAAACAAGTAGAGCCAGAACGCTCAGATCATACGACCTGCCCCTTGTTTTCAGAAAGGCATCTCAGCAGCTGGTGTTGCTAGAAAAAGCATGACTGCACCAGCAGTAGGCAGGATGCTGGGGAGGGAAAGCTCACTATGATGGTAGCTACAGGCAGTCAGCTGGTGCAGATAAGTGGTCAGTTCAGCTCTGCTTCATTCCTTCTGTTACAGACTTTGATGTGCTGGGAGGAGAGTACTGACAAAAAACCTGTAAGATCCCAGCATAGATTTCCCGCAGTACTGGAATTGTTTCAGAGGAAGAACTGCTGCTTTCATGGATAGGAACCGCGATAAAGGGACAGAATAAAGAACCAAACGATCAAGAGGAGGGTTCCTTATTTCACTGAGTGATGTAAAAATTGCTTCTGTGTTTGATCTGAAAGAACTGTCTTGTCTCAGCCTGCAACTGCTTGTAGTGACTGCCTGGGGATGGAGCTGTGCTCTCCAGCTGTGCAGACTGGTGCCTTGCTGATTCTTTCACCCAGGACTCCCTGTGGACTATCTGCTATAAACTTCAGTCACATCCTAGATAGGAGGATCAGTTCGGCTCTGTGACTGCAAAAATCAGAACAAAGCCGTCCCGTGCCCCTTGCCCAGGCCTGTTCCTGAATTTGGGACAGCTGAGCAGCTTAAGGCCAGAGACATCCCCCCATTTGGAACCAACCCCTACCTGGTACACGTGCGCAATGAGCTGCTCTCTGCTTCCACATTCCAGCTGGCAGAGGGGACACTGGGACAATCCCAGCATGGGGTCAGCATTCAAACTCTCGGTAACCTAGGGGGAGGGAAAGACACCTTGGTGTAGGGCACACAGGTCTTCACACAGCCACCCCACCCTCCCTTAGTATCTAGTCAACACCTGCACACAGGCCTCGCCCAGATCAAGTGCTGTGCCCAGTCCTGCTGGGGCTGGTTTGCTGTTCTCCATCTAAAACTTCCTTTATGTATCCTCCGAGCAAAACTCTTGCTGCCTCCAGAAGCAAGAGAAGCCTCGTGGCCCACACTCGCACCCATAATCTTGCCAGCACAGTGCCTCTGGTAGGCAAGGTCTGCTCTGCAGCAGAAGGGAAGGGGAGATCGGTCAGAGAAAGGTGCCAGCACTGAAGGAGGTGGACAGACCGCGTAAGCATCTCAGCAAGGCAGGAGAATAGCAGTTTGTCTCCTGTTCCTGGCAACCCAAGAACACCTCACACCACTTCCACCATTTCCTCCAGCCAGGAGATACTGTTTGGAGGAAGCGAGAGTGGGGACAAGGGAAGAAATCACCCCGAGGAGAAAAGATGTGTTTTCACCCCGCGCCCTCTCTTCTTCCTGGGAACTTGAGGTGAGTGCAGTGCCAATATACACTTGCCTCATTTTCTCTCATCAGTGGGGTTCCAGCTGCAGGTTTTTCCACATTCTCTAACTCTTTCTTCACTTTTATCATTGAACCATCCTCTTCAGAAGTGTGGGAAGAGACTTCATCCTGGGTGGTTTCATCATCATCACTGCCACCTGAAACATGAGAAAGCAGTTACTCCAAGTGTCAGGGCCCTGAGGGCACTAATAAAC